CCTTGCTTCTAGGTCCCTTGACTTTCCCACAATGATCCCTCAAACAGACTCAGGTCACACCATGGGGTAGTGCTGAAGCTGGAATTCAAACCCAGGCATTTGGGCTCTATGTCTGCCTGCATAACTTCTTTGCTACATCCCTTCCCCTAGCATTGCCCATTCTTGCCTGCCACAACAGCATTCCATCGGGCCTCTATTGCATCAGTCCTCCATTCACCCTCCCTTCCCTTCGCACCCACACCCCCTTCCATTGCCCTTCCAGTAAGTGAAACTAGTCATGACTGAAAACCACCTAGTGGCTATTTAACTGCTCACAAGATAAATCCCAAAACTTCTTTGCTGGACAAAGTTCTTCATAATCTGGCCTGACCCACAGCCCCAGCCTCATCCTCCAACAACTCACACCATGCTGAATTTCTCCCATTTCCGCCAAAGCTGTGTCCTTTTACACCAGTGAACCTTCACCCTCATTGTCTCTAACACCCAGAATATTCTTGCTGACCCTCTGCCAGTCAAAGCCCTGCTCTTTCCTGGCTACTCACTTCAGACACCATCTCTTCTGTGCTATCCTTGGGCAGTAAACCAGAGCTCAGCATTCTTATGTCTCACTCTGTAGTGTTTCAGTTTATCTTCTTGCATGGCTTCAGAATGGCTAAATAGGCCCAGCACAGTAGCTCGTGCCTGTAATCCCAGCACTTTGGAAGGCCAAGGCAGGAGGATTGATTGAGCCCATGAGTTTGAGACCAGCCAAGAACGTGCCACTGCATTTCAGTCTGGGCAACAGAGTGAAACTCCAACTCAGAAAAGAAAACTTGTCTTTACCAAAAAATCAAAAAGTTATCCAGGTATGGACATAACTGTAGTCCCAGCTACTCGGGAGGCTGAGGTAAAAGGATCACCTGAGCCCAGGAGGTCAAGGCTGCAGTGAGCTGTGATCATGCCACTGCACCTCAGTCTAGACAACAGAATGAGATTTTGACTTAAAAAAAAAAAGGCTAAATATTCAAAGATTAGATGGATGACCTCAGATCTATTAGCATTCATTCCCCCTCCAACCTCCGCCAACATACCAGAGATATGGCAGGATCCTTCCTACCCCTGCATTTCAAATGATTCTTTTCACTGGATCACACAAGATCTTAAAGGCTGAAAAATTCTATATGACATATTTCCCCTCACTCTATACAGCTCAAGGGTGACTTTCTTCCTCATTTCTTGTTTTTTGTTTTTTATTATTTTCTGAGTTGGAGTTTCACTCTATCGCCCAGACTAAAGTGCAGTGGCACACTCTCAGCCACCGCAGCCTCAACCTGCTGGGCTCCAGCAATCCTTCCACCTCAGCCTTCCAAGTAGCCAGAACTACAGGCACGTGCTACCACGCCCCGCTAATTTTTGATTTATTGTAGAGACAAGGTCTCACCAAGTTGCCCAGGTAGGTATTGAACCTACCTGGGCAACTTGCAATCCATTTGCCTCGACCTCCCAAAATGCTGGGATTACAGGCTGAGCCACCAGAGCCCGGCATCTTCCTCATTTCTCTTCAAAGGAAAAAAAAAAAAGAAGAAGAAAGGAGAATGGAAATTGAAGGACTTCAACCAGACCAGTCAGTCGAAACATGGCGTGAGAAAAACAATGGCACCATAACATACAAACCACTTGAAGCCTTAGAGACCATCTCAGTCAGACTTCTCCATTTTATTCATGAGGACACTGAGGCCCAAGGAAGAGGTTTGTATAAGGGCAGCAATTAGTAAGAGGCAGACAGCACTGGAACCCAGGACTTCTGAGAACCTACGCAGGAATCTGGCCTTATGCCGCTATCCTTCAAATCTGTCTTACCTGTCCTAGGGACTGAGGGGAGGCCTTGCTTATGGGTCCCAGAATGATCCCTCAAACGGATGCACAGTGCCTTCTTGGGACCAGGTAGTTGACAGGTCAATGCTCCTTGCTCATGCAACTCAGGACTGCAGTTCACCCAGCACCTGGCTGTGACTCCCAATTGCACCAACTAGCCCGGGGCATTCCAATAGGAGCTTCACCAAGGGCAGTGGCTGTTCCTTTGCTCCCTGCATCTGTCAATCCCTTGTCTGTGTCAGACTCGGAGGCTGCTCCTACACAACCATCCTTTCTTCCCCTCCCCACTCCCTCTACCTCCTGTTTCCTCCCAGTTAGTCACGATGAAGTCACACTCAGTCTCTGGCTCCCAGGCCTCTCCCTTATGTAGATACAGGGAGAGGGGAGGATGCAGCAAGGCACCATGGGCAAAATGGGCTCTGGAGTCAAAGAGACGTGGGTTTGAATCCTGGCTCAGCCAGTTGACCAACTGTGTTACCTTCTTCAAGTTATTTAATCTCTCAGATGCTTCACTGAAAAAGGCGGGGCTGCCTGGGCAGTTTCCTAACCTGCAAAATGGGGATCATAACACTTACCTCATTGGTTTATAGTGAGAATTAAAGGAGACACAGTGCCAAAAGCACCTTGCCCCGAGCCTGGCGGTCGGCAAGTGTTGTTCAGCTTCCCTTGCCGTGTTCTGCGAGGCCATGACTGTCAAGCAGGGGCCTGAGAAGTCATGGGTGCCCACCTGTAGGCCTGCAGGTGAGCGGGTGTGAACGTGAGAAGAGGAGAGCTCCAGCCCAAGTGTGCAAATGAGTGTGATGAGGCTGAGTGTCTCTTCCTCCTAAATTCCCCCCATCCTCTTTAAAGTAAAGATCTGTCATGTCTTCTTGTCAGTGATGAGAACTCCAAACCCCTCCCAGGGGAGGGAGGGAACAACCCACCCCACCAGGCTCATCCAAGGGAAACAAACTCAGGTGAGGTCCACTCCTGGCAGAAGCCAACTGGTGGGGGAACCACGCCCCAAAAGATGTTCAAAGGGCCGGAGGCCTCCCTACAGGCAGCCCAGGACCAGAGGAGCTGCCCTCAGCCTTGTCTCTAGCACGAGGGTTTCTCAAGCTTCAGGCAGATGGCACAGGCAGTCAAACCTATGGGACCTGTGGAACTGGTCACCTCCCAGCAGGGCTGACCTTGCCATGTCTTGGTATGGGATAGGCTCCTCCCCCTGTATCTTTTTCAAGGACCTGGGGCAGGGAGAGGTGGGCCCTGGGCTGGGGAATCCTGAGTCCACAGGACAGAAGCACAGGGCACAGGCCATGTCCTAACCTGTTTAGGACCAGGATCACAGACTTCAGGAACAGTTGGGAATCTCCTCTATCCTCTTTCCCCTGAAGCCAACCTAGCCAAACTGTTTCCGAGATAAGAATCTGTCTCACATTTAAAGACCTTGGGTGAGAAGCTGATTCTATAAACTCCCTCCCTTGGTAGTTGTTCCAGTGTTCAATAAACTGCATTGGTTAGAAGTTCTTCCTCATAGCTAACCTAGATCTTTCTTTAATTGAAGCCTATCCCTGTTCTAGGTCTCAAGTGGAGAGGGAGGGTAGCTGACTTTCATTTGTTAGCAAACTTCCTGGTCTTCTTGATAAGCATAATTGTAGGATTTGTTTGCTCAAAAGGTTTTGGCTTAGGCCTCAAGAGTATTCCTCTCTCCCTGACTAGGAAGGATGTACCAGAATTAACAGCCTTTTAGGCAATGTTGATAGTGACTTCAAATCACTCTGTAGGTAAAGGAGGAGAAGGACATATGTCTGCCTTTGATCTTCAGCCCCACCCCTGGCTTTCCTCTAAACCTGACCTCAGAATATCAGAATCTTGGGGAGGAGTCCTAGTGATTGCATGATACACCCCCTCATTTGGATTGTCTTCCTTTCCTTCTTGCTATTCCTCTACCCCCTACTCTTTTCTGCCTCACAAATTCCTATTCATCCTTTAGAGCAAGACTCAAATATCACTTCCTCCATGAAGCCTGCTCTGAGTTCCCAGGAAAAATTAACTCTTCCCATTTCCATCTGACACCTTTTTTTTTTTTAACATATCTCCCATAAAGCACAGATGAGACTGTATTATAATTAGTCACATAAGAGTCTTTCTCCCTCTCTGTCTCTATACCCCACCCTCCCCTCATACTAGATGTTGAGTTCTTTCAGGGCAAAAACCATGTCTTAGTTTTATTTGCATTCCCACACGTGGTATAGTAGGTCCCCCCCCCATTTATAGAATAAATTAATTTTTCAGCAGAGAAAAACTCAGACCAAAAATATTAAATGACTTGATCAAGGTTCTACAGTGAGTTAGTGGCAGTAATGGGACCACACCCCAGGCTATCTGACTCAGTATCTAGTTCTCCCCCTTGGTCTCACTCTGGGACTTCCCATGACTACCTTCTGCTTGGTTCCAGCTTGGTCTCTTTCCTCCCAACAAACTTCCATCCCGTGTGCTTGTGATATCACACCTGTCCCATCCCTCATGCCTAGTCCTCCTATCAGCCTCTAACCTCCAGGGGCAAGTCCCCTCCCTTGACTTCGCCCTTCTCTTTACACCTCCCCCTGTCCAAAGCCCCCCAAGTCAGTTTAACCTCACCCAACTTGGTTTCCATCAAAGTGCCATGCTTGTGTCCACATTTCCCCTGAGTTTGGTTTCATGCTCTTTTCTGAGTTCTTTCTGCTTATTCCATATTTCCTGTTATGTTCCTCATCTTCATACTCCAGGAGTTTCCAGATAAAACCCAGGTACTTCATCCTTTGTGGCTTTACAAACTCCTTTGCACACTGTCCACACAGACTCACCGAGAGGCACCTTGAGCTAAACTTCTACAGGAAAAGAGCTGAAGCCCTAGATTTCTGGGCCACTTCTGGCACACAGCTCCCTGTAAACAGGCGTTCCATTTGTCAGACCTCTTTTGAGAGGATACCAAAGAGACCCCAACACTGGTTCACAGATTGGGGTGGGAGCTTGGACTAAGGGCCCTTTGATCCTGAAAGTTTGGAGTTTATGAATACACACCCCTAGACAGTCCTTAATCTACTTTGTATCCTCCACACTTGACTTAGTATAAGTGGCTCCCAAAATATATAGAATAAACATTTTCTTCTGTCCCAAGTTCTTACCTGCCTGTTGAAATCTAGGCCATTTCGATCATTTCCTGGAAAAGATTAAAAATATATCGATTAGTTGGTAGCAGGATTGGAAGAGGCTATAGGTTAGAGAAAATTTTTAGAAAGGATGTTGAGAAGACTATGTCTTTATTTTGAAAAAGAGCACCTATTTGCCCTGAGGCCAAGATTCTCTTCTTCACACTGTTTCCTGGAAATGCCTTCTGAAAGTCTCCTCCAGAAAGGTGGATAGCTAGGGAAAGAGTCGCCTGGGAGGACGGTTGACTTATCTAAGGTCACATAGCAAATCAGGGTCTGTTGGGAATAGAGCTTGCCATACCAATCAGAGAGCTTGGTTTCTGTGCCTGTGCTGCACGCCCCCAGCCAGCAGCTGTTACATCCCTCCATGGACCAAGAGACCAAGAAGGGACCAACCATGGATCCCAAGGCAAGATGTCCTCCCACTAGCCCAGCCCTCCAAGGGCGAAGACACCTAAATCACGTCAGACAGACAGGTTGTCTATCTTGTCTTTTTCCACCTTTCACTTTTATTTCTTGTTGTGTGTGTATTTTTCCTTTTATACTAAATGTTGGGCTGAAAAAGTAAATATGTGTTTAATAGAATTGGCCAGGCATGATGACTCATGCCTATAATCCTTTGGAAGGCTGAGGTAGGAAGATTGCTTGAGCTCAGGAGTTCGAGACTAGTCTAGGTAACATGGTGAGACTTCGTCTCTACAAAAAGTAAAAAAAAAAACTAGCAAGGCATGGTGGCATGTGCCTGTAGTTCCAGCTACTTGGGAGACTGAGATGGAAGAATTGCCTGAGCCCAAGACGTAGAGGCTGCAGTAAACTCGGATTGTGCAATTGCACTCTAGCCTGGGCAACAGAGTGAGACCTTGACTCAAAAAAAAAAAAAAAAAAGCTTTTCAACAAGAAAAATCTAAAGTAGCAAAAAAAATTACTCACCTAGAGGCAGCTATAATGAATAATTTTGTATATTTTATGGTCTTTTTATAATTGTTTTTCTTCATTGATATGTATCACTCTACATAGGTTTTGCCTTCCTTTTTCCAGTGAGCATCATAACTATATTTCCCGTGCTTATAAATACCATTTAAAATTTTTAAATGGCTATATAATACATTGCATGGATGTCTCATGATTTGCTTAAACATGTACCTATTGCTGGTGGTGTTTCCATTCTTTGCTATAATAAAGTTTCCTATTCATATAGCTCTCCAGGGCCCCATAAATCATTGACTCTGTAACAGCAGGAAAATGATTATTTATTCAATACTGTACACACAGAGCCTAGCACTATGTTCACCATATAATAAGAGCTCAAGATATATTGGTTGAATGATTGAACAAATGAATGAGTGAACAAATTCAGAACTCTTTTAAAAAGCTTTGAAACCAAGTCTAGATGCCTTGGCACAACTTAGAATCCCCCATAGGTCCCGTTCCCTCCCTGCCTGCCTTTCCTGCTTTGTCTTAATACTGCTCATGGTGCTACCTTACTCCCTCCCAGGTATGCCAAGCTCCAACCACAGAGAATACTCACCTGTGCCCAGCACGCCTTGCACTCATGTTCCCATGCCTCCATGCTCTTGCACCCTTGCACAGAGTTAATCCCTCTTCCCCCAGGAACCCTCTCTGCTGGCCACATGGCACTTGTATAACTCCTCATTGGTTTGCATCTTTCTCTCTCCCACTATTCTGTGATTTCCTTGAGAACTGGTCAGTGACATCCATTTTTGTGTCCTCAAGGACCATAAAATGACTCCAGTCCCCAGTGTGGATCAGAGGATCAGGAAAGGCCTGAGAGAAGAATGAATGACATCTAAGAGAATCCTCTGGAATCTCATCCCTTCCTTTGCTCTGTTCTAAGCAACAAGGGGCAGGCATAGTCCTTTCCTGTCTAGGTGTGAGACATCTCCAAGAGTAGGAGGACCACCAGGTTAAGAGCAGAGGAGGAAGAACTATGGGATCCCCAAGACGAGGAAGATGGTGACGTGCACAGTGATTGCTGAGTGGAAGCCTGATTCTGATACCAGCTAAGAAGATATTGGGGGGGGGTGCCAAAAATGTATGCACATTTGAAGTATGATGGTCACTCAAAAGATGTCAGTAATCAAATGAATGCTAGTGTCACCATGTGACAGGCAGGACAGTCAAACAGCAGAAGCACAGTTGAGCAAATATCATACTACACATTGCTACCGTAATTTAATTCAACTTCAAAAAGTAATACATAGACAATATCTCTTAAAATGTGTATACATTTTGTTGGCACTCCGTGTCTGTGTGTGTGTGTATGTGTGTGTGTGTGTGTGTGTGTGTGTGTGTGTATAAAATCTGTGAGGGGAGTTCATGATGGAAAGGGCTCATAGACTACAACAGCTGTGCTTAAAGGGATAGAATGAAGCCGGGCTCAGTGGCTCAGCCCTGTAATCCCACATCTTGGGATTGCCTGAGCCCATAGGTTCGAGACCCGCCTGGGCAACTTGGTGAGACCTCATCTCCACAATAAATCAAAAATTAGCTGGGCATGGTAGCACATGCCTGTAGTTCCAGCTACTTGGAAGGCTGAGGCGGAAGGATTGCTGGAGCCCAGCAGGTTGAGGCAGCGATGGCCGGGAGTGGCCACTGCACTCCAGTCTGGGCGATAGAGACTCCAACTCAAAATAAATAAATAAATAAATAAAAGGTAAAATTCCTTTTATCTTAAAAAAAAAAAACACCTCTTTTGTAGGCTGGGTGCAGTGGCTCATGCCTATAATCCCAGCACTTTGGGAAGCTGAGAGGCAGGAGGATTGCTTGAGTCCAGGAGTTTGAGACCAGCCTAGGCAACATAGTGAGACCTCGCCTCTACAAAAAATGAGACAATTAGTTGGGCACGGTGATGCCTGCCTGTAGTCTCAGCTGCTTGGGAGTTTGAGGCAGAAAGATTACTTGAGCCCAGGAGGTTGAGGCTACAGTGAGTTGTGATCACGCCACTACATTCTAGCCGGAGTGACAGAGCAAGACTTTGACCAAAAAAAAAAAAAAAATCCTTTGGTAACATTGTAAAGTTGGGGTAAGAAGGAGTGATTTTCAATGACTTGACAGAAGAGCCAATTCATTGATCCCACAAGTATTGACCAAGTACATTCTATGTGCCAGGTACTGTTCTGGGTACTAGGAATACAATATTGGAGGAGACAAGCCACTGGCCTCATGGTACTTGCTTTCTAGCTGATGAGACATAAAAGGAATAAGCAGATGAATATGTAATATGATTTTATTTAGAGAGTATTACTGTAGAGGCCAATAAGACATGGGACAGGGAGAGAGTGTCTGAGGCTATTCAGAAGTCGGATGATCTGGAAAGGGAGGAGATATTTTCACTGGATATAGTAAGGACCCAAACTTTTGAAGGTTTGGGGAAGATCATTCCAGATGGCAGGACTGAGTCTGGAGGTAAGGACTGGTTTGCAAGGCAAGAACAGTAACAAGATCAGGATGGTTGGAGAGTGGAGCTGGGAGTGACACTGTGGAACCCAGGGGCCAGGTCCTAATGAAGACTGCAGCTTTCACTCCATGGAAGGTGGGAGTGACCTAAGGGTTTTGAGCAGAGGAGTAAGATGATCCGATGTGTGTCTCTAAACCTGGAGGGATCAGAGAGTAGGAGGAGAGACCAGCTGGGAGTCTGCAGCAGTGGCCCAAGTGAGAAGGCAGTGGGCAGGACAGAATTATGGAGTGGAGGCCATGAGCAGAGCCTGCATTCTGGATATACTTGAATGGACAGCTGATGGGACTGACTCCAATGGAGGGAACTTGGGGGACAAGAAAGGAATCAAGGGGGATTCCTGAGCTTGGGCCTCTTGGAAGTAGTATGTGGTGGTGCCATTCGCTGAGATGGAGTGACTCAGGGAGGAGCAGGCAGGGGGAGAACATCAGAAGTTAAGTTTGGGGCATATTAAGTATGAGATGCCAATTAAATGTCCCAGTGGCAGTGGGGAAGTGATTCTGACTCAGAAGTATTAGGTTGGGAAGTATAAATCTGGCAGCAATCAGCTTATAGGTGTCATTACAAGCCATAGGACTCATGAAGTTACAAAGTCCAGATGGAGAGGAAACTAGGGTGAAGGCTGGGTTGAGGAGGGGGAGCTAGCAAGTGAGACTGAGAAAGAATGGGCAGGCAAGGTAAAGGAAGATCAGGCAAATATGGTGCTCCAGAAGGGAAGAGGAAAAGATGCTTCCAGGAGGAGGTGATATATATTTAAATGAGACTAAGAAAGTAAGAAAAGTATGGGGGTGGGGAGAGAGGCAAAATAAAAATTTTTAAAAACAGTTTGATTTGGAGAGGAGAGGGTCATAGAGTTTACGGACAATTTTAAAATGTCTTCAAGTCAGGCACGGTGGCTCACACCTGCAATCCTAGCACTTTGGGAGGTGAAGGCGAAAGGATTACCTGAGGATGACCAGCCTGGGCAACTTGGTGAGACCTCGTCTCTACAATAAATCAAAAAATGAGCTGGGCGTCATGGCACACGCCTGTAGTTCCAGCTACTCAGAAGGCTGAGGTGGAAGGATAGCCTGAGCCCAGCAGGTTGAGGCTACGGTGGCCGTGAGTGTGCCACTGCACTCCAGCCTGGGGGACAGAATGAGAATCCGACTCAAAAATCAAAAAGTCTTTACTTTTGATTTCTGTGAATGCCATTATAATGCTGTTTGTGATATCCGCATAGTGGAAAAGGTGAGCAAGCAGAATTCAGAGACTAATTTTAAAATACTCCAGTCAACAGAATTAGCGATTTCTCTTGCCTCGAAGTTTTTCCATGGCACTTCTCAAGAGTCCTCTCACCATGAGGATGCACCTGCAGCCTGGTGATGGAGTTTCCCCTTATCAAACCCATTCTTATTTTTTTTTTTTTGAGACAGAATTTTACTCTGTTGCTCAGGCACAATCACAACTCGCCGCAGCCTTGATCTCTTGGGCTCAAGCGATCCTCCTGCCTCAGCCTCCCGAGTAGCTGGGATTACAGGCATGCACCAGCTAATG